TGGGATAGACTTCGATACGCAACAGCGCGAGTTCTACAGTTTATAAAATTATGTACACCAGAGAAGCACAAGGTCCACTACAAAAAGAATAGAAAAAACAAAGAAAAGGACCCAGCATGGAAAAATGTAAATAAACCGTCGCACCAATCTTCAAATCTCGAATCAAGTACGTGTGGCAAGCCCGTTTACCCAGAGGAAAAGAAATTCATCCCTTTAACAGCGAGCTCCTCATAGAAGCAGAGAAATTATTATTGCGATCCTCCCAAGAAGATTCGTTCGCCGAAGAAATGGAAGACCTAAGAAAAATGAAAAAACTAAGCAAAGACAGCTGACTTCGTCACCTCAACACAACGATCGAAGATGGGTTCATCCGACTTAGTATCCAAGCAACGGAAGGGGTTGTCTCAACAACTTAAAAAACCCCTCATAATAGACGGTGACCATCCGACGGTCAAGTTATGGGTGAAATCGGTACACGAAAAACTGCATCACGCGGGAGTCGAAGCCACAGTCAACGAATGCAGACAACAACACTGGATAATACGTTTACGCCCCACAGTACGCACCATAATAAGAGCGTGTTTCTTCTGCAAAATGAGGACGCAAAAACCACCGTATCCTCGAACCGGGGACCTCCCAGCGTGCCGCTTAGCACATCACCAACGGCCATTCACATATACAGGAGTCGATTACTTCGGCCCTCTATCCGTAACAGTTGGAAGAACGAAGCAAAAAAGATACGTCGCAATATTTACCTGCCTCACGACAAGAGCTATACACCTAGAGATCGCGAGTTCGCTAAGCACCGACTCCGCAGTAATGGCGCTGCGGAGAATGATTTCGAGGAGAGGATGTCCTACACAAATTTGGTCGGACAACGGTATAAATTTGAAAGCCGCCGATAAAGAATTAAGAAAATCAATAGACGCCGCCACTACGGAAGAAGCGGCCAAGAAGACTATATCTTGGCGGTTCATCCCGCCCGCCGCTCCTTTCATGGGCGGAGCATGGGGGCGCCTCATACGCTCCGTAAAGAACGCGCTCACCGCCACGCTCCACGAACGACACCCGAATGAAGAGGTACTCTCAACGCTGTTGGCAGAAGTGGAATATACGGTGAACAGTCGCCCGCTGACTCACGTGTCAGTCACCGCCGAAGATCCGGAGGCCCTCACCCCCAACCACTTCCTGCTGGGGGGGTAACGGAAGGGTGCCGCAGCCGGGGACCTTCAACGAAAACGACGAAATATCAAGAGCCAGCTGGAGAGCAGCGCAACGTCTCGCCGATGTCTTCTGGTCGCGTTGGGTACGCGAATACCTGCCTGAGTTACAACACCGGCGGGAGCCGCATGGACGTGGTTTAAGTGTTCAAAGTGGTGACTTAGTGCAAATCGTGGACGCTAATTTACCGCGAAATGTGTGGCCCCGTGGCAAAGTCGTCGCTACATATCCCGGTCCTGACAACATCGTGCGCACGGTCGACGTGCAGACGAGAGGTGGAGTACTACGGCGGCCAGTCAGGAAGCTGGTCATACTACCACGTGCTGAAGATTCATCAACGGAGGATGCTGGACGAGCTACGAGCGACGCTTCGACCTGAGCTGCCCACGAGCAGAAAACCCGCACCGGTAGTTATGCAACTCAGTTGCACGGCGGGAGAATGTGCGGGATAACTTAGTGTAATAGTGTTTGTATAACTGGTTTTATATGACTATTAACACATATGTTGTAAAATTAGTACGATAAAATAATTAGGGAAAAAGTGTATTTTCATAGTGTCATCGTAATTAATTAAATTTAATTATTTGTAATATAGTCATAAGACCTCGAATTCTTTAAGGTAACGCACCAAGAGGGTGCAATATATATATATTTATATTGACTAATATAATCGCAAAAGACAATTCATCAGATCTTATTCATCATCGTTTGCACAGCTCAGCAAAGTACTTTTCCTTATTTTGTAGCTTAAACAAGTATCAAATTAAGTAGCATTCGTTCTTCATTCATGCTAGTGTTGATGTTATATCCTTTGCTGACCTGTGCAAACTATGTTGAATAAGGTCTGATGATTAATTGTCTTTTCCGATTATATTATTCAAAAAATCGGTAGTTAAAAACGGAAGATAAACGGGAAAAAATACTTGAGTAATAACTAACATTGTTAACCCGACGCTTGTTTATATTACCTTGACATGTACATATACTAACAGGCAAATGTTTATCACGACGCCACTACAATTTCCAAAGAACCGACAACAGGGATAGACTTTGATGTTGAAACAAGTACTCGTAGAGTAAATAGTGTACAGAGCAAATCCATTTACATTTTAAATTACTTAGTACACACACAAAGACTCCGCCTGTATATACTAATTGGCCTAGTTGAAGACATATTTCTTTCATGTTTTATTGTATTGAAATGATACAGGTAATAAAGTTAATTATAGTTGTAGACTAAATAATTTTTTTCTCAGCATACTACTAGATTAGTATAGACGGACAGATTATTTCCAAGGATAGTATGTACTGTTAGAATGATTAGCTTACTAGTGAGTAGAGCATCTGGACAGATAATCCAAAGCGTAGATTCGAATCCCAAAAAATTTGCCACTTTTTTAACTTAACAATTTTAAATATTATTGCCTTAAGTGCAGAAACTAAAATCAATATACCTAAATATAAAATTAAATGATTCGCTAATATAATAGATATTGATTCTACCTCTGTAAAGTAAAAGTAAAGTATCAGCCTATACATGTCCCACTGCTGGGCAAAGGCCTCCTCTGTACAGAAGGTATCAGGGCATTGTCCACCACGCGGCCCCACTGCAGATTGGCGGTCTTCACATATCTTCGAAATATTATTTTTTTATAATTATTCCGAACATATGCAGGTTTCCTCACAGTCAGGTTGCTCGAGTATATTGAAATAAAAGACGAGCACCCGGCACTGAGCTATCACGGCTCCCTTTGCATATTAATTATTTATTGACTTTGACTAAAAGTACAAATCTTTCAATTTCACCGGGCGGTTAGAACATTACAAACATTAATACTTAAAATAGTAAATACTCTATATTAAAAATTACTTTAGCAAGAGAATTATAATTTGGGATACGCAGCAGTTCCTGGCGTTGAACGAACAGGCAGACTTGACGCATCACGGCCTCACCAATTAAAGAGTGTCTTGATGTTGAAACATTATCCTTTCTCTTTTCGTCTGGTAACTCTTGTCCAAGTCCTCCGGTGTTGTATTAACATCAGGTGGATAGTCGCTGTCAAGCTTTTCATATAACAAAATTAAAACGTTTCATTCAAATTATTTTTAAAAGATTATGCTGACTTTCGGTTTTCCGTTTTTAATTAAGGTTCCAGGAAGTGGCGTGAATCATGCAAAGCGGGTTTTTGGTCGCTATGTTCGCGGGCACACTAACGACCTCACATTCAGGCGTATTCAAATTAAGCTTTCAACTGCAGATTTTTCGTAGCTCTAAGACCTTTAATGGCGAGGTTAATGATGTCGAATAGGGATTCGGTCTCAAATAGGATTTTCTATTGAAAGGCATTTTTGTGTTTGTTTTCTTGATAAATAATAAAAATAAAAAAATAATGAAAGATAGGAGTGCAAACTTTGAGTAAATTTGGGAAAAAAAATATTTTTTTGGCATTAAAAATTAAAATGAAATTATAGCATTGAATTAAAATTAAGCCGTGATAGCTCAGTGTCCGGGCGCTCGCCTTAATTCAATATACTCGAGCAACCTGAGTTCGATCCCCGGTGCTGGCACCAATGAAGTTTTTAACTTTAAGTGCTGACTTATCACGTGCTCCGCGGTGAAGGAAAACATCGTGAGGAAACCTGCATATTTTCGAAATAATAACAAAAAAAATATATATATTTCGAATATATGTGAAGTCCGCCAATCCGCAGTGGGGCCGCGTGGTGGACTATGCCCTGATACCCTCTGTATAGAGGAGGCCTTTGCGCAGCAGTGGGACATGTATAGGCTGTTACTTTACTTTTACTTTTTTTTATAGCATTGAATAAATTAATCAATTGTGACCAATTGAAATTAGGGATCCACCAAAATTTTACCATATCCTTGGAATTTTAATCTCTCTGTAGTTAGTGTCAAAGTATTGACAAATTGTTAAAAATCACTGATAAATTTCATTTCGTGACCAATTTGGACCACTTCTAGGAGGTCAAATTTCTTCATATGGGTCGCTTATAAGATCCTTTCCAGCGTTGATGAACAGATGAACAGATTAGTTCAGGCTGCCCCGTGACACCTCGGTCAATTTAAAATCAAACTAAAACACTATAAAATCCCTACAATACTTTCATTTAACCATTACAACGTTATTGGAAATCAAACTAAATAATTTTATTGGTTCATAATACAGTAAACAATACAATAGAAGCAAATAGGTAGGACGACGATAAAAGTAAGACGGGATATTAAATTTAGCATAAAGCATAGAACCAGTAGAAATAAGAGACTTTAAAGAAAGTAGTAAAGATAAGACCCGTCACCAAAAAGCATTAGTTTCAGATACTATAGCTAAGAACATTGCATCAGATGTAACGGTCGTAATGTAAAGTTTATTTAAATAATGTAATACCCTTCACGCAAACTAAACTGTAAACTCCTCTCATTGATTGTAGTGGTAACATGTCTCCAGGACCTACAACATCAGAAGTTAATTAAAACCCCGAAATAGTAACCATATGATTAATGTTAAGTAAAAAGAACTAGCAACTACTTTTAATTACCCGATAAATAAAACAAATATAAAGAAAAGCATATGCATAAACCGAGTCACAATTTTACAAAAAATAAATATTAGATAAAATACTATCAGGACCAAACATTTATTTTATTAAATTTAAAAAATAAGAATGTTTATTAAAAATACATATAACATTTTATTCAAGTGTGCTTCTCAACATAGATCCAATAATAAAATGTAGTGTCAATCCAATCCTGTTCTTTACAACGATTGAACCAAGCAGTGAGGTTGTTTACCTGAAAATAACATCTATTGTATAACTGCAAAATATCAGGTCAAATTAACGTAATACAAATGGATTTATAAAAATTTCATTGATTATTGACACCTTTATGATAAAGCTCTATTAATCAAAATAAATTAGATATAGATTTATCTGGTATTTGTTAAAATTTATGATACTTTTCGGATATTTAGAACGTTGGCCTGAGCGAACACGAACCAATTTTCAGCTTGTTAACTGAAAATAAAACAAATTACTGAAAACTTTCGACTTCTCGACGAATAAAATCTCTAGTCATGGATTAGTTTCATATATATTATAAAATGATTTCATGTTGTTTGTTATAATGTAGCACTTACATTTTTCATCGATTGGTGGTATCTCATTCAAAGAACTGATGGAGGAAATACAGCAAATATCTGCTAAAATTATTTCTTCGCCCGCCATCCAAGGACCCGTTAAGAATTTTTCAGAAAGCGCACATGCTACTTTAATCTTTTCCAGCACTTCTGGCTTAATTGACTTTGCACCTCTAAAGAAGACCGGCGGCTGAAAATAAAATATAAATCCATTTCAACTCAACGAAATATGTCCGATATAAATTTTATAGCGAAGTAGCTAATTTCTGCACTAAAGATGAAACATTAAAATTTGTAGATAAAAGTACGAAATGTTTTTCGCCGCTGTGGGAATCGAACCCACTTCTTCGGGATTCGCGCCCATATGCTTTAACCACTAAGCTAAATCTATTTTAAGCTAAGTCTTTTATCTATCTATTGTTTTATTTCTGCTTTTCAAGCCATTTTATATCTTTTACAGCATAAAAACAATTTCGAATATCGTTCTAGAACGATTCCGAAGTTTATATTTCTTTCGTTATTTTTTGTACACATTTTAAAGTCACAGATAGTAATTATTAGAGACATTAAAATATGTAGAAAAAGTACGAAAAGATTGTCGCCACTATGGGAATCGAACCCACGTCTTCAGCATTCGCGGACCGACGCTTTAACTACTAAGCGGCTGATTGCCACACCGACGAAAATCTTTTCGTACTTTTTCTACATATTTCAATGTTCAATTTTAAAGTGCAAAGATTAGCACTATAAACAATTTAAATTTCTATTAGAGACATGTTATAAAACATAGCTTTTACCAATTTATACAACTATAACTCATCGATGACTAAAATAATTGGATAACAATAGAACTTAGCTTTTCCAACAGAGCAACAGCCTTAACTACCATTAAGTAAAAACTAACTCGCGTACATTGTGAGAGTTGAATTTATACCCCTCAAAAACAAATACCAAACACCCCCCATTCTAGGGTGTAGGAAATATCACGACGCAATAGGTATCAAACCAACAACTTTTAAATAAGTCACAACAATCTATACTAATAAATTGTCGATAAATTATTATTAGATTAAATATGTTCCATAATTTATGGCACACATATTTAATCTAATTGCCATATGTAATTTTTTTCAAACACGCCTAAAGAAATATAACTTCAAAAATATGTACAAGGTAGTACTTTCAAATAGTGTATCTTGTATTAACTGATGTTTTTGCTTTCAGTCCCGAGACTATTAAGGCTTCATCTGACGCAGAACCGGTGGGCTAGCCAGAACCCACGGGTTTGGGCCCTCCGCTGTGGGTAGTGCCGCGCATGTGCTCATGCGTGCGACCGGAAGGACCCGGATGCGACCCGGAAGCCATCTTGCAACCGTTGTTGCTACAGTTATCTGTATAATAGTCTAAGGACTGAAAGCGTAACATCAGTTACATAAAAAAATAAAAGACAGTAAAATATACCTCAGTATCTTTTACTGTCTTTTATTTTTTTCCATCCATTCTACGTGGAAGCTTTTTAATGTATGATGAAATATGTATATATATTGCAGTAAATAATGCCAATTAGTTTACAGTAAAATAAAAAGAGCTTAACGTTATAATATTCGTTCAATTTAATAATATTTATTATTGTTATATTTGTAAATACTACATATTTGTATTAGAAATTACAAAATTGTTTTTATAAAGTATGATTTTTATTTAATTAATAAAATAATCTTCATATTGTGTTAATTAATAGTTTGTCATTGATACATTTCAAATTTTGACATCAAAAAATATCGATTATAACAAGTAACTAAAACAAGTTTCCATGATTTTAAACATCGTTATAGCTTTTAAGAGTAGAGGAGATATTTAAAATTGTTAAAATTTAATTACATCAATTATTATTCAATGTGCTTTATCTTTACGGTCAATTACAAACAGATCTAATCCAATGATGTATGCAACACAGATAAGTTACACTAATATGCAAATAAGTATCCAATAAAATACATGGAAACCGAGATCAAGCGATAAAGAGTTTTGATAACAATAATAAATAGTTCAAAATTTTTAATAAAATATAATTAAGTAGTAAGGAATTAGTTTTATTTCAGTTTTCAAAAGTTTTAATTTATCCTCATATAGTGTAAACGTTGACAACCCAACTGGCGTGGGGAGTAGTGCACTATATGTATAATATATATTTAGTAGTGTATTATATGTATAATATATATTTATTTTAAAAGAAAATTATGTTTAAGTATGTCTATTAGTTCTCTAGTATCCATAGTACAAGCGTTGCTTAGTTTAGGACTAGAGAAAGTTGTGTAAAAATGCGTCCGAAAATATTTATTATTATGGGGGGGGGGGGGGGGGGGGAATATTTATTTGTTTTCTTGTCTGGTTGGGTTTATAAATAAAAATAAGCATATAGAAATATATGGTATATATAAAATTAATATTATTATTTATAATATTATTTTATATTATTATTTTTATGATACAGTTTTTTTCTCGACTCGGTGGCGGTTTTTTCGTTCTAGTATACGGGCATACTCCATTGTGACTTATGTTTGTGAATGTTACTGTGTTTGTGTGATTGTCATCTTAACTGCTGTGTACTGTGTGTGGTTGGGAAGTTGGGTTTTAGAATCGGCGTACTATGAAACATGTGTCCAAAACAATTGAGTTGGAGGGGTATATATGTGTTGTCATGAAGATCTAAGATTTGAAGCGCTGTTTTAAGTGATTTTGGTATGACACCGGTTGCTGAAATAATGGGGGGATGGACTACTCTGTTTAACTTCGTCAGGGATATATTATGTGTGTTTCTGTTTTGTCTGTGTGTTGGGAACGGGTTTATAAAGTTTTTTAAAAATAAGCATGATAGTCAGTTATTATGGTATATATCGTTGTTAATATTATTCTTTATAATATTATTTTATATTATTATTTTTATGATACAGTTTTTTTCTCGACTCGGTGGCGGTTTTTTCGTTCTAGTATACGGGCATACTCCATTGTGACTTATGTTTGTGAATGTTACTGTGTTTGTGTGATTGTCATCTTAACTGCTGTGTACTGTGTGTGGTTGGGAAGTTGGGTTTTAGAATCGGCGTACTATGAAACATGTGTCTAAAACAATTGAGTTGGAGGGGTATATATGTGTTGTCATGAAGATCTAAGATTTGAAGCGCTGTTTTAAGTGATTTTGGTATGACACCGGTTGCTGAAATAATGGCGGGGATGATTTTGACTACATCTGTTTAACTTCGTCAGCCAAAGGTATATATTTGTGTATTTTTCTGTGTGTTTCTGTTTTAGATTCTGTGTGTTGGGAACGGCGATGTCTATTAGGTAAGTAGTTTTTTGGATGAGTGTAATGTCGGTTTTATTGCTGAGTATAGTGCGGTTAGTTATTATGCCTCGGTCCCAGTAGTTTCGTTGTGCTATTTTATTATTTATAATATTATTTTATTATTATTTATAATAAATATTATAAAGACTATAATAATATTAGCTTTTCGCCCGCGGCTCTAGGTTTCATTTTTAGAAAATGTCCTTTTATCCCTGTTTTCAGGGAATGAAGAATGTTATTCGAATATGACGGTAAATTTCGCCGCAATGTTAAAAAAATGTTATAATAGCTCGGTCGGTAATCGGGCGGCCGCAAAACAGACGGCCGCGGTTCGTATCATGATCATTTACACACTTATTTTTTTACTTTTTTTTATTCCAGATCATTGCTTTCTTTATTTTTTATTTTTTGTCGATTTGTTATTTTGTTATTTTTTCCCTTTTTTTTAAGTTCCTTCTTTTGTGAAAAACACCATTTCATACTTTCTTATTATTACGTCGGTAAGATTGAAAAATATTATGCATATTTACTTATTACTCAGTAATTTGTAACTAAATATAATTTCCAAAATACACGATTTACCAAAAAAAAAAAAACAAACCGAGCAAAGCTCCTCCAGGTACTGTTCATTAGTCTACAAAAAAAAAATAATTTAAAATATATAGGTAATTGTTATTAAATGAAGAACGGCGAGAAAATTATGTACATTAAAAACTTAATCTAAGCTTACCTTATTGCTTGGGAATGCGGTTCAGAAACTAATTTTTAACGAATCAATAGTTACGCACTTCCTCCTTCAAGTCAATAACAAGCGTCAAGTTATAATTAGAGTACATTAATGATTTCAATATTTGACTAAAGCTACTTCACAATTTTAGAATTAGTCGTCTGTTGCATGTTCTTGATTTTGATTACTTTTCAAAGCCTAAGTCAAAGTCAAAATATCTTTGTTCAACATATAAGTCAAAAAATACCACCACCTTTTCACTAAATTAGACGTGCCAGAGAAGAACCGGCAAGAAACTCTGCGGTCTTATCTTTTTTTTCTTTGACTTATTTAATACCTGTCCCAAACAACTAAATCTCCGTCTTTCAACGTTGGAATGGTGTGTTGTGGATTCATCTGGAAAAATTTTAACTATTTAATAAATTATCATACCATTTTGAGGGCTTAGTTTTAAACTGATAGCTTAATCTACTTGGCTTAAATTTGTGTAGGTACATAAAAGTTTCTATTTTTCACATTCTTTTCCACAAAAAAAACGAACAATACACCTTGGCGTAATTGTTTAATTTATTAATTTCAATTTTAGGCAATGAAGTAACCATGTAAAAGTTGAAGAACAAAAATGCAACGACAGGAGCACATACTTTCAAATAGTCTTCCGTGGGATGGTCACCATTTGGAAAGTCTACATCGATACATTTCACATCCGGTATATTCGCCGCTTCGATGACCATGAGGACAGAGCAAACTGGCGGACTCAATTTCACTTGGTACAGTGTTAGGGTCATGCTTGTAGTTCTGGAATGGACAGTTTTGTTAATGCTTATGAGTAGGGATGTCTTGATCGCTCGAACTTTGAAATTTGAGTCGTTTATTACTGACACTTTAAATTGCTACAATTAAAAATTTAAAACATATGAACATTCTGAGAAACTTACAATACTTGGTGCCGTAAATATTATAAATCTATTCTGTCATATTTTTGAGTACCTACTACATATTTGTAAGTATTTGTGATTTTGTGAAATTTTATTAAACTGTTTTTATTTCATTAAACTGTATTTAGTTATTGAAAATAATATATACCTATATGAAAATAATTATAAATTTTAAACCTTAAGGCAACAAATCGTTGCCTTAACTCTTAAAATTTATATATATCATAACCCATAAATTATAGGATATATTCCTATAATATATCATATAATGTTGTTTGTAACACGTATTGTAAAGTGTACTTAATTTTAATTCAAATTAATATTTTTCCTTTAATGCGCAGACTATTAAAGCTTCATCGAACTCTGAACGTAATCTAAGGGGAGGAATTGACATTCCTTCCTGCGTGCCATCGCGATCGGTATGGGCCATAATCCCGATAGCCGTTGAATATACTCGTATTAATCAAGGGCTGCGGGTGGTGAGAACCGGCCTCCAACACGGATGTACCGTGTGTCGTTACGTGTTGCGTTAGTTCCATTGTGCTCGTAGATGAGGATGAACTAATTATGTGTGTTTGTACTAACTGCGGATATAGTATTGCCTGGTGTAGTCGGGCGATATTTGTTAAGTTATAGAAGCGGCCCGTTAATGAACACGGCTCCATCTATGTCAATGTTATCAATATGTTCGGTGATTCATTATCGAGATGAAATTGATTCCTAGGTATCATTAGGTAGCTAATCTTTTTTTTTCTCAAGGGAGCGATCGGTTATAGAATGTGATTTTCCCTAGTTTTCTATTCGGACAAGCTCTGGTTATTTAATGTTGGGTACGTGACAGGTCCGAGAGAACTGTATTGCTACACCTTTCTCGGGATTTACGTATATTGCCGTTCGCGAAACCAGTCGTCGAAGTGATCACAGTCTCCCGTGTCGTGTTTATTTCGAGTTTGCGCGCCGTTTTCTTTTCGGCTGCTTCAGCTTGGTTGGTAAAGCATTTCATGAAATTCTAACCATTGCATAGTTCAACTGATTTATTTGTCACGTTTATGTACTAACTCGATTAAATCTGGATTGGTTACAGAAATCATTGTTCACGCTTATGTTAAAATAAAAAGTAGAGATTACAAACTTGGTATTAAGAAACATAATTTTATCGAAAATAGAAACCTTTTCGGAAAAAAGAATTTCATATTAGGAACTATTTACACCGAGACCTGTGAACGCATTAGCTTACATTTTTTAATTTATCACGGATATGTCATTTTATTACGGCTAACGCATTTCAACAATACAGTGACATTATCTTAAAATACAATACCATGTGAATTGCCTCTACATCTTTTTAATAGTATACCACTTAGTATACCTTATAATACGTTATAAATTTGTGTGTTATTACATAACACATTTTCATAACACTTATACAAACTGCATTAATACATTAAATTACATAACATTCCTATTCCAAAAGTAATTATAAAATTGTACTGCACGCAGAGTACATATTCATAATTCAAAAACAAACTTGTTTATTGTAATCTTTAGATCTGTTTACAATGGCTTGTTACAACATTTCATTTATACGAAAGGAGATTTTTTTTTTATGTGAAAAGTTGCCAAGCGAGCAGGTGGTTCACCTGATGTTAAGTGAACACCACCGCCCATGGACATCTGCTGTACCCGAGGGCTTGCAGATGCGTTGACAACCTTTTGAAAATTGGGCTCCAGCTACCTCACTCACCAGACGAAACGCGAAAGTATTTGTTATACTTCCACTTTACGCTGGTCTTCTGTGAGGTCGTGGTATTTACCCGAATGGGCCTGCCCATTCGTGCAACAGCCGAGACTGCTGCGTGGCCCTACCACCGTATGGTCGTAAAATAATGTTCTTTCCAGAAGATATTTCATTTCTACGAGACAATTGTATAACATTATCAAAATTATAATGGAAAACATTGCCACATCTATTCCATTTGCAGATCTTCTATGATATCGAATTTTTATGTATGATTATATTCACCATGACTCGCAAGTGACTTGTGGTTCAACGTATCTGTGAATTGTAATAGCAGTCTATAGGTACGTTTATCGTTATATTTGTGTGAAATATAGATAAGCGACTCGGTTCACCTGATGGTAAGTGAATACCGCCGCCCTAGGTTATCTCACTCAAAGTATAATACTTCCACTTCACGCTGGTCTTCTGTGGGGTCGTGGTACTTTACCGGACCGGCCTGCCCATTCGTGTAACAGCAAAAAGCTGCTGCGTGTCGTATCACAATTTTGTGAAGTAATGTATAATTGTAGAAATAATTAATTAATTTTTGTTTAATGAACGAAATTGATAATAATTACGAGGAAAATTAATGATTACTTATGGTAAATATCAAATAGTAATAAAAATACCAATATTGTTTTCGGTATTTTTTTCCGTTGCGTTTCAGCCACTGCAAGAAAGTAGTTAAGGTAATTTATTAATTTAGTCGATAGACAACCCGCGGACTCGGGAGAACAACGTAGCTGGCACGACGACTACACGAAGACGCCGTCCGCTTCGCTGTACTCCGCCACACCTTGCTAACGAAAGACGGACAATCGACTAACAGGGGGGCAATACACGATCCAAGGGCCCGATGGAGGTTCATATGGATGGACTCAGATGGAGGTTCGGACCTCGGCTTGGATCTCAATCGATAAGGGGACCTACCAGAGGAAGGAATAAGCTTGAAATTGCGATTCAATCCCGAAACGTACGGGCGCCGCACTATCGCTTTCGAATGAATAATTATATAAGCACTTGAGAACGATTTGTTTACGAGATTTGTTCGTGTTTATTAACATGTGTTAACCGTGTGGATCTTGAAATCACTATGGAAAAAAATGGATTAGAATCGCATCATCGCATAGTTCATAATTTGATGTCATAAACGAATCCAAATATTCTTTATATAGGAATTTGTCTCTTTTATTATTATACCTAATCAAATTTATTGGGAGGAAGGCAGATTCAATTTTTTCTGCATTTTTTTAGATAAAGAGAATTCCGCAAATAAATCAAATTATCAATTTATCAATAATACTTGCGTGTTAGGTTAGGATTTAATCATCGTCATCATCAGCTGGAAGACGACCACTGTTAAACAAAGGCTTCCCCCTTAGAAAGCTACAACGAACGATATTTCGCATCCACCGGTTGCCCGTGAATCTTACGATGTCGTTGTTATCGCCTGCCCATCCGTGCAGCTGCAAAAGCTATTGCGTGGCCCTACAGTAGTACCAATAATTTGGCAGATCCATCGCATCATTAGTAGTCGCAAGTGAACACCGCCACCTAGTAGCAGTATCAAGAACTTAAAATTCTAAATATAATTTTCAACAGAATTGGCTGCTTAAGAAAATCGGCAAAGTGCGACTCGGACTCGCTCAAGAAGTTCCATTATCTATAGAAACGGCACAAAAAATCATGTATGTTGTACGGAAGCCCTATTTAAATATTTTTTTAGTATTTATTGTTATAGCGGAAACAAGAAATTTCAACTGCCTAACTATCACAGAGAGATACAGCCTGGTGACAGACAAACAGATAGAGAGTCTTAGTAATAGGTAATAAATAACCCTAAAAACTGTACATATAATCATGCATTTATTGATTAGTTATTGATATATTGATAACGATCATTTTTAATAATACTCAATTATGCATTTATTACATTTATTTTAGTTTTTTCTATACTTTTGTATGTACTGCTTAATCTCACCTAAAAATTTGTGTATATCTTATATTATTATTTCAAATTAAAATCCACTGTCATGAGACGTTTATTTAATAAATGTGAAAATTTTATAACAATAAGTGCAAAATTTATTCAAGTTTGCTTCTCAACATATCTCCCAATATGGTTAATCCGGGTACATTTCCTTTCTTATAGAAATCCTGCTCTTTACAACGATTGAACCAAGCGTTGAGGTTGGGGTACCTGAAAAAAGAGCATTTATTACATGACTGAAAAATAAAAGTTCAAACTAATTTCATCATAAACATGAATTGATAAATATTAGAATGTAACGCCTCTCTTAATCGCCAATCGAGAGAAAGTAACTTTTAAACGGCTTATCTGAATTTTTTCTAGACCGTGTCTTGGTTTGGAAAAAACTCAGATACCTTCAAATTTTTTGTGTTTTGGCCAGGGTAAAATCGAACCCATAGTAAGCTTGTTAAAAGAAAAGCAAACAAATTACTGAAAATATCCATCTTCTCGACAGAAACATTGGCCAGTCATGGCTTGGTTACTGATTATAAAATAATGTAAATGATTTAATTAAAATGTAACACCTACAAGTTTTCGTCGATTGGCAATATCTCATTCATGGAACTAATCGAGGAAATGCAGCATATATCTGCTAAAGTTATTTCTTCGCCCACCATCCAATGCCCGGTTAGAAACTTTTCGGAAAACCCATAAGCTGCTTTAATCTTTTCCAGCGCTTCTGGCTTAATTGACTTTTCACCTCTAAAGAAGACTGGCTCCTGTAAATTAAATGTAAATTAATGTTAACGTGTATTGTAATAAAATAAACTATCTCAGAGTCATAAATTACGTTTAAATTTCATTTCATTTGTTCGGAGTAAAAAACTATAATTTTGTGTTGTTAGAATATCACTTTTTATTTATCGATAAATGGCGAATTCTATGCCTTATCTGGACTGTTTTGCCAAATGCTACGATAAAGAGATAGTCTTAATTATTTTTGTCTAATCATAAACTAAATTTTTTGCAAGAGTTTTCTCTTGAATGTCTAATCTTAATCCAAAGCGTCATCTAACTAATGCTACTTACAACAGCGCCACGCAAAGAAGGAAATAATATTCCACTGTCAAAATGCAGTCTCTGGTCGATTAAAGCTCTTTTTTGTGGATCTCTTGGATAAAGGGTTTCGTTATTGCTGTACTTGGTAAGTAAGTAGACGGATATTGCATGACTGAAATCAAAATTTTGTTGTATTATCAAAAGTTATGTTCTCAACAAAACTACACCATTTCATTGTGGTAGGGATACGTAACGACGTTGACTGTTGTATATAAAAGCAGATTCTGTCGAGACAGATATAAAAGTAGACCTGTGCAAAGTAGAACTATTTACATATTATTTTCTTCCAATATTTAGACATGAAGTTAAAACAATAAATCTACATACACCACGTTTGGGTCGTTTATAGCGACCAATGCAATGTATAATGGATATTAAATTTTGAATAACCTGATGAGCCAGAATGAAGTTTAGACCAAGAAACTAAAAATCAGCGAATTAGTTGGGCACTTTCTCTTTCAAAGTAAGAAACAACATAGAGATATCGATAGAGAACATTCATGATTTAAAATTTGGGTAGAGTAACTTTACAAAAATGTCGTAGAGTATTTTTTGCTTTTTATAACAATAAACTACATATATATAATAATTTATAAAGTTATTGTATCAAAAATTAAGGAATTGTAAAAACGTACCTGTCCCAAATAACGAAATCGCCATCTTTCAACATGGGAATGGTGTGTTGTGGATTTAGCTGGAAAATTTATAACATTTTGATAATTTATCATACGATTTAATATTTTTTATCTTAGTTTTATTCTCATAACATCTTAATTAGCTTAAACCCGTGCGATTCACAAGAGTTTAGTATTGTTTAAATTTTTATCACATGAAAACCATGTTCCACGTTGACATTATTGTTGTTTGTTAATTTAAATTTCATTTCCTTTCTGAATGATAACGTATACATGTAGAAGGGAGCATGGCACAGAACAAGAATTAAAAAATTGCAAAAGTAGCATAAATGTGTATTTATAATATAAAAACGTACTTTCAAATAATCTTCCTTAAGATGTTCACCAGTTAGTAGGTTTACGTCGATATATTCCACATCCGGTATATTTGCTGCTTCGATGACCATGAAAACAGATCGAACAGGTGGACTAGCATCCAATTTGTACAGTGAGAGGACCATACTTGAAGTTCTGGAACAGTCAATTGCGTTAACGCTCATTAGTAAAGATGGCATGAATGCTCGAATATTGAAGCTTGAGTTGTACGAACCGTACACTGTGAACATTTTTTCTATGACAAAGTGCATTTTCCTTTCGCTTAATCAAAAACAAGCTACTAATACCCCTACCCAGTACACTTTGAAGTACGCCGTAAACACTAGGTCAATATGATCCTAACTACGTAGAAGCTTTTTAGTGAAATACATTGTGGAGTAAATTATATCAATTAACTCACAGTAAAAAGGACAGCTAAACTGAGGTATTGTAATTTTTATACATCCTTACTTAATATTATAAAGGCGAAAGTTTGCATGTATGGATGGATGTTTGTTACTCTTTCACACAAAAACTACTGAATAGATTTTAATGAAACTTTGCAATAATATAGCAAATACATCAGAATAATACATAGGCTATGACTTATAAAGGTATTGTGTAAATTGTCCAAAATATAGGTAATGATAAGTGTCAACTAAGTAGGAAAAATTCAGCCATCTGCGAAATATTCTGGTGTATAATAAAAAACTCATTGTTAATTCCCTTTTGCCACGCGGGTGAAGCCGCGGATAATAGCTAGTCTTATATATTTTTAACTCCCTGATATCCGTGAAGTTGATTTTAGGTATTTGTTTTTGTATGAAGTATAATTTTATTCAAATTAATAATGTTTTTTATTACATTCAGTCATTAATAACTTTTAAATTTCCACAATGAAGACAATGCCTGAATAATTCTTCATTCAAATACGTTTTTCACGATCACATTATTAAACATCGTTATGGCTTTTTCAAATTTGTTTAAATTTAATAATCTTACTTATTACTAAATATGCTGTAATGTACTTTATCACTGCACTTAATTACAGATCTAATCCGATGATGTATGCAACACAGATAAGTTACACTAATATGCAGCAAATGAGCTTCGAATATAACTGTAAAGCAAACGTTAACAAGTTTTTATTATAATACATTAGGATCAATTTATATCATTCACGGGGACTGAACTAAATAAACCAACAAAAAATATAGATATCTTATTTATGTCATAAGTTCTATCGGTGGTTCTATTCTATATATTCTACTTAGAACATTGTATTAATAAGTTGGTTAAGTTAAGGGCTAATGTTTCATACTATTTTTGTATGGACTTTGAACCAATGGAAAATATTGACCAACTGTATAACGACTTGTGTATTCATTGTTTTCCATATTACTACACTACCGCCTGTCACTCAACTAAGCAAAAGTTATGCATAAACAAATTAAAATATTACAGCATGCCCTAATAAAAACAATAAGTAATCCCCAAACAATATTATATCCTAAGACACCATTGTGACATCGGTACATAAATATATAGGATTTATATAAATAATTATATATTACGAATTTGTAAACTATAAATATGTATATAAAACCGTAAATATTTAAACGGTTAACCATTGAAATGATTAATTGGGGCAAACCAGTTTTAGTAATTTAAGGCAGACAAAAGAGAAACCAGATGTTAAAACTGTTAGCTTGTTATATCAAAATATAAACCGTTTCTCTGGCAAGATCCTTGACGTAGAACTTCTAATTGATAAGTATAATGTAGATATCTTGTGCTTTACTGAGACATGGCTCAATGATATGTCATTTAGTATAAACAGTTATTCAGTAGCCAGTAAATTTAACAGAGTATCTGCTATGGGAGGGGGGTGTCTCATCCTACATAGAAATACTTTGAAATTAAAAGAAAGAACTGATATTGTTGCATACTCTGTTGAACGACTATGTGAGATTGCATGTGCAGAGACAGAAGATTATTTATTAATGTGTGTTTATAGACCACCCTCATCCGATCTTATAAATTTTTTATTAATTATTGAAGACATCTTGATTAAAATATTTAAAATAAAAAAGCATATAGTCATTTGCGGTGATTTTAACATTGATTTACTGACAGATTCTCCAGATAAAGTGAGATTTCTGTCACTTCTTAAAACATTTAATCTTTACTGTGTCTTCGATGAACCAACAAGAGTAACCCCATCCTGTGCCCCTTGTATAGATAATATTATAGTAAATTGTAAAATCGTAAACCAAGAAATATTGAGTGGTGTTAGATCTGACCATAAAGCCCTTAAAATAGACATCTATATTAATAACAAAAATAATGTTATTATAAATGAGTGTAGGCTTGTAAATAAATTCAGAATTAAACAGTTTAGAGATAGCGTCAAACACAAGCTACCCTTATTAAAATTAACTACTAATGATCCCGATGACAATTTCAATGCCTTGTTTACTATGATTACTACAGAATTTAATAAAATTATGCCGAAAAGAAAAACTATTACTTTAGGCAATAAACTTTGCTTTAGTGAGTGGGCAACCAAGGGAATTAGAAAGAGCAGGGATAAACTATATGATCTACATGGTATTAAGTCATTATCTTTTGATCCTAACTTCCATGAATATGTTAGGAATTATTCAAAAAATTTTAAAAGGGTCTGTACTTTAGCTAAAGCAGACTATTTGAGTAATAAAATTAAATTGTCTTCAAATGAAGTTAAAAGTACATGGAATGTAATAAATATGGAAACTGGCAAAAATAATGAAAAAAAGGCAGATTTTACATTAAAAGTTAATGGCAAAGTTTTAAAAGAAAAATATAAAGTAGCAAATGAGTTTCTTAATGTCTTCACAAATATACCTTGTGAAACTACTAGACATTTGCAACACTGTCCCACAGAGGCAGTAACATATCTCGATGAATATGTTAATATTTCTGTTCCAGATTTTAAATTTTTCATATAGGCCCGAATGATATTATTAAAACATGTAAAAATCTAAATAAAAAGAAAACAGAAGACTTATGGGGCTTATCAATATGGGCAATTGATCTTATAATCTATGACATTGCTTGCATATTAGCCCAAATATTTAA